TTATAATGAAATGTGCAAAGACTTAGAGTTAGAAAAACAAAATGGAATAACACGATCAGCATTTCTCAAGCTGAAACAACTAAGGAAAAAAATTAAGCCTCGCGTTATAATATTGAAAGATTCTATGGGCAAAATATTGAATGATGCAGGAAACATCAAAAGAAGATGGAAGGAATACACAGAGTCACTATACCAAAAAGACCTGGTCAGTCTTCATCCATTTCAGAAGGTGGCATATGATGAAGAACCAATGGTACTTCAAAGCTGCACTGAAGGAATTGGTGAAGAACAAGGCTTCAAGATTGACAGAATACCCATTGAGATGTTTCAGCAAATGGATGCCCCGCTGGATGCACTCACTTGGCTATGCCAAAAGATTTGGAAGACAACTACTTAGCCAACTGACTGGAAGAGATCCGTATTTGTACCCATTCCAAAGAAGGGTGATCCCATGGATTGTGGAAATTATTGAACAATATCATTAATATCACACGCAAGTAAAATCTTACTGAAGATAATTGAAAAACGGTTGCAGCAGTATATTGACAGAGCTTCCAAAAATGTGAGCTGGATTCAGAAGAGGACATGGAATGAGGGATATCATTGCTGATGTCAGATGGATCCTGGCTGAAAAGAAAGAATACCAGAAAGATGTTTACTTATGTTTTATTGACTATGCAAAAGCATTTGATTGTGTGAATTATAACAAATTATGGATAACATTGAGAAGAATAGGAATTCCAGAACACTTAATTGTACTCATGAGAAACCTGTACATAGACCAGGAGGCTGTCATTTGATATGAACAAGGGGACACTGCATGGTTTAAAATCAAGAAGGGAGTACGTCAGGGCTGTATCCTTTTACCATGCTTGTTTAATCTGTATGCTGAGCAGGTAATCTGAGAAGCTGGACTATATGAAGAAGAACGTAGCATCAGGATTGGAGGAAGAATCATTAATAACATGCGATATCCTGGTGACACAACTTTGCTTGCTGAAAGTGAGGATGACTTGAGGCACTTATTAATAAAGATTGAAGAATACAGTGTGCAGTATGGATTACATCTCAATATAAAGAAAAAAAAATCCTCACAACTGGACCTATGATCAGCATTCACGATAAATGGAGAAAAGATTGAAGTTGTCAGAGACTTCACATTGCTTGGTTCTACAATCGATGCCAATGAAAGTAGCAGTCAGGACATCTGATGATGTATAGCACTGGGCACATCAGCTGCATAGGACCTCTTTCAAGTGCTGAAGAGCAAAGATGTCTTCTTGAGGACTAAAGTGCGCCTGACCCAAGCTATGGTATTTTCAATCGCTTCATGTGCCTGTGAGAGCTGGACAATGAATAAGGAAGACCAAAGAAGAGTTGATACTTTTGAGTTGTGTTGGAGAAGAATGCTAAAAGTACCATGGACTGCTAAAAGAACTAACAAATCTGTCCTGGAGGAAGTGCAGCCGGAATATTCCTTGGAAATGAGAATGGCCAGACTTCGTCTCACCTACTTTGGTCATGTTATCAGAAGGGATCTGTGGAAGGATGTCATGCTTGGTAAGATGGAGGGTCGATGAAAGAGGGGAAGGCCCTCAACAAGATGGATTGACACAGTGGCTGCAGCAGTGGACTCAAGTATAGCAAGGATAGTGGAGCTGGTGCAGGACTGGGCAATGTTTCATTCTGCTGTGCATAGGGTCACTATGAGTCGCAGACAATGACACCTAACAACAACTTGAAAAAAAAAATTCTCATGAGTCTATGGATCAGCTGGTAGTTATGGTGACTTGGCTTGTCTCTGCGGATCTTGATTGGACTTACTCAAGCATCTGCCAATAGCTGGTGAGGTGACTGGGGGCTGACTCATCTATGATGGCTGGAATGATTCGGTTCTCCTACACAGGCCTTGAATATTCCAGTAGGCTAGCTTGCGCTTGTTCTTACGGCCATGACAGGGTTCCAAGAAAGATAGGAAGCCCTACCTATGGCATAAATAGGGCAGAGAATGGTGGAAAGTAGACCTCGTGGAGGGCAAAGATAAGATAACAAACTCAATGCAAATGTATTCTTCTAAGCTGTTTATAAAAATTGGGAAAATGACACAACCAAATACTTTTCATGGAAGCCTACAATAGACCTTTTTACAGATGCTTTGAACAATATATTTACAATGTGTTTTTTAACCAGATATAATTCTATCAGTAGGTAGGCATTTTTATCCAGGCCATATTTTTCCATCTTAACAAAGCTTTGGTGAAAAATTTTGTCAAATTTGATGCTGCAATTAAGAAATTATGTATAGATTTCTGTATTAACTAATCATTATTGCATTACTTGGAAACAGTATCAGAAAGAATACTTTACTATGGTACATGTAATAAATTCTTTTATATAACTTTTAGCTTTCAAATAATTAATGAGATAGGAAATGCTTACAAGTTAATTTTAACGACAAAAGGATACTCCCTTTTTTTTTTTTTTTTGAATGCCAAGAAGAAATGGGATTCTATAGATATCTTTAGAGCAATATTCTGTGTCTGTGGTGAAACTAATAAGAAGAATGAAAATTATGTACCAGAATGATGGTGCTGTGGTTAAGGCATTGGGCTACTAGAGAAAAGGTTGGTGATTCAAGCACACCAACCATTCCACAGAAGAAAAATAAGGCAGTCTGCTTCTGTAAAAATTTACAGCCTTGGAAACCCTTTGGGGGTCACTATGAGTTGGAATTGACTTGATGGCGGTGGGTTTGGTTTGGTCTTGGTAGGATAGGAAAGTAAGGGAAAATAAATAAATCTCAAACACTGATACTTCTTTCATTATATCATTATGTGACTGAGGAACCTATCAGATAGCTATGGCTATTGTGGCCATGATCATTTCTTTATAGCCTTTAAACTCTTAAAATTCATATGTCACAAGGTGGCAGTTTAGCCATCTAGAATGTTTAAATGTATAGTTTAAAAGGTAAAAGAAAACCTCTGACAACACAACAGGTAGCCCTTGTCTTGCAAGGAATACACAATATGAAACTAAATAAATCACTTACCAGATAGTTACCTATCAGCTGCCCACTAAGGTCATTGTGGCATGGTAAAGATGGCCACAGATGCTTTTATTCTCTTCCCATTGAGAAGTGGAGTCTCTGTTCCTTTCTTTTAAATCTGGGTGGACTCTGTTACTGTTTGACCAATAAAATATGTCAGAAGTTATTGCATACCAGTCTTTGACCTTCAGAGACTGTCAACTTCTACTTCCTTTTCTTGGAACACTCACTCTTAGAAACTGTTGTTGTTATGTGCTGGCGAGTCGGACCTGACTCACAGCGACCCCTCCTTGGGTTTCCAAGGCAGTAACACTATGGAAGTAGATTGCCCAACCTTCCTTCCGAGGAGTGGCTAGGGGGTTTGAACTGCCAGCCTTCTGGTTAGCAGTCAAGTGCCTTAGGAAACTAGCTGGCAGAATATGAGAAGGCCAAGCCACTTGGGGAGGGCCTGCTTTTGTGCTATGTATTCCAGTCAACAAACCTAGCTGAGTTCCACCTATCTGAGCTGTTCGCTGACCACTAGCATTCATTTCCAGGCATGTAGGAGCCATCTTGGACAACCAGCTTAGTTTTGCCTTTAGATGACCCACCCTTGGCCACTATCTGTCTCTAGCTACATGAAAAACTCAAGAAAGTCCATATAGTCTAGCCCCTTGAGTTAATTCACAGAGCCATGAGCATAATAAAAAAAATGTTTTAAGCCATTAAATTTAGGAGTAATTTGTTGAGCATTAAAACAAAACAAAAACTGGAAGCATTAGCCATTGTTAGCTGCACTGTTGCATTTGGGGAAAAAAACATGTGAAAGTAGTTATAGGAAACTACTTGAAAGTAGTTATAGGAAACAGATCCTTTGTGGCTTTGTTCCCTTTCCCTTCCTAAGATCTCTGTAGAGCTACCTTGCAAAGCGGAATGAAGCATTGGTAGGGTAGCTTCCAGTGTCATATACAAATATAATAAGAAAGCTCAAGACAGAAGTTTATGATTGAGTTGTCTCTATGTGAGACACTTTACAATTGACCACAACCCTGAGGAGTACATATTATTATTATTATCCTCATTTTTCCTTTTTTTTCTCTTTCCTTCATCCTCTTTCTTCCTAAAGGAACTCTGGTGGTATAGCGGTCAAAACATTTTCTGGTAGCATAGTGGCTAAGGCACTTGACTGCTAACCAGAAGGCTGGTGGTTCAAATCCACCAGCCACTCCTCGGAAGGAAGATGGGGCAATCTACTTCGTAGTGATACTGCCTCGGAAACCCAAGGAGGGGTCGCTATGAGTCGAGTCCGACTCAATGGCACATAACAACAACAACAACAACCAAAAAGTTTGGTGATTCATACCCAGAAGCCACTCCACAGGAGAAAGATGAGGCAGTTTGCTTCTGTAAAGATTTACAGCCTTGGAAACCTTTTACCTGTAGGGCAATTCTACTCTGTCCTGTTGCATTGCTATGAGTCTGAATCAACTCATTGACAGTGGGTTTGGTTTTTTGTTTCTTCCTTCCTTCCTCCTTCTCTTCCTTCCTTCCTCCTTCTCTTCCTTCCTTTATTTTGCCTCCAGTTTCCAAGTTGCTTTCACTCCATGCCACTCCACTCCACCTCAGCAGAAGCCTGTTTCATGTCCACAATCTCTTTGTGCTCTTTATAGTACATGGGATACATGCTCAAGGTGGATCCGTGTATGGAGAAGTGAGATAAGCTGTCTCTGAGAGGGCAATTCCTGGTCGGATATCATCCACAGAAACCTTCATGTGCTATTTTAATAGTCTCTCTTTTTCTGCTTGATCAGAAATTATCAAATGCAATTGGTCTCATCCTTAGAAACACTGTATTTTTATATTTTTTAAAAAATCTTGACAACAAAAACATTACCTGCATAATCCTTTGTTATAATCAAGGTCAAAGTTTAAGTATTATACAGAGTGTTTCACAACTTTGGTTTACTTTCAGGTATTCCCAAGTTAATTACATCTGATATGATTAAAGAAGGCGCTGCTGTGATTGATGTGGGCATCAACTATGTCCAAGACCCAATGACAGGAAAGACAAGATTAATGGGAGATGTGGACTTTGAAGGTAATAAACAAAGTCTTTTTTGATAAACAAAGAAAACAGATTCTACTTTGCATGTTTTAATAGTAGAAAAGAGAAAATTTATTTGATGAGAATTGTTAATCATCAACCTTTTTCTCACAGGAAAAAAAAATTAATCTAATTTCCTTATTGTGTCCCTTCCTTCCTTTTCTTCCTGAACCCCTCACTCCCTTCCATACTTCTTTCTTACCTTCCTCCTCCTGTTCCTCCCTTTTCCCTCCTTTCCTCCCTCCCTTCCCTCCTTTGTTCCCTTTTCCCTTCTTGAGAAATAAATCTAATTGTTTCACTAGCATTGAAGATCAATGCTAGTTTTATGAAGATCAAATTCCTTATAGTGCAATTTTTTAGTGAAGTACTTCAGCTGGCCTTTGTATAACTGGCCATTATTTCGTTTTTTGTAATATCATCTTACTGTATACTTAGTCATTCATATAATCTTTCACTCTTAGAGTCAGAAGGGATCTTAGGGTGTTTGCCAACACTAGCTCTGTTTCAGATCTGGAAAGTTTTCTACATTATACACTTGTGTTTTAAAGAGAACGAGGAGCTAGGCTACAATTTCTATGACCAGTGAAAGAGATAAGGCAGCTAATATGCAGTAAACAAACTAACAGTAATCCAATCCCTTTTCTCTACAGATCAGAAAACTAAGCACCAACAAATAATTATTTTTAGATGCATAACTCCCTAATCCAAGTACGTTTCCAATACTTCTATCAGACACCTACCTGAATTTTGAGTTTCAGTATATGGGAGTCATAGATGTTTGTGAAGATTGAAAATAGTTAAGTATGTGCAGACATTTTCATTTTAGGAATATTGTGTGTATAGATCAGTCATTCTGGACAAAAATTTCAGGGCCATGTCAAGAACTTTATTAATTATAACGTATCCTTACAGACAAACTAAAAGGAATAAATACCTCATTCCCATGTTGTAATTTTCTAAATACCGTAACTTCTAAATTTTCACTTGGAATGCAGTCATCAGCTGAAGGCTTACCCAAACCCTACCATGATGTTGAAAAAAATTGAATATTCAGTAGTCAGAAGTGCCCTAGGATATTGGTAGGTTCTTGGAAATTGGCCACATGTATGTGAGATTTGGTGTGCATCAGGGACCAAATCCAGATAAGCAATCAGCCTGGTGCTGAAAGAGGAAATAAAACAAAACCTCAGGGCACATATATGAAATATCCTCTCTCTGTCTATCTGTCTCTCTCTTTCTCTCTCTCTCACACACACACATACACTCACTCCTCAGGCAAATGCATGTGTGTGTGTGTGTACTAGCTTGTAGATTCTATGCCCCATCATCTCTTATCAATAGCAAGGATAACACACACTGCCTTTCCTTTCAACATAGATTTGTGAGACTTCAGACTCATGTTTTATGATTTTTTTCCAAGGCTACTTCCACCCTTATTTTGCTATCTTCATCAGGAATTGAGGAAAAAGGAAAAGAGAAGATGAATCTCCTATATATTTGCCCCTGAACTGGCTAAATCTAGAGGGCTGTGCACTTGGATTCTATCATTCATGAATTCTTTCATTTCTTCAATAAATGTATGTTGTTGTTGTTGTTCTTAGGTGCTGTTCAGTCATCTCTGACTCATAGTGACCCCTCCTTGGGTTTCCGAGGCAGTATCACTACAGAAATAGATTGCCCAACCTTCCTTCCAAGGACTTGCTGG